CAAGACGCCTGCCATTTGATATAAATAAATAAATATATAACACGTAAAATAATAAAAAATGAACATTTCAAATTGGTAAAAACTTAAAAAAGTGAATTTCGGGTACCTCCCGATTGCAAATCAAATCAATCCACCGATATTCAAATAACATTTATCAAGCACAGATATTAGGGTTAAACCTATACTCACATTGACATCAAAACTTGTTAATCCCTAGACGTCTGAAGGATTTTACACTCAATTGTTCAATCCAGTGATCGATTTAACTAGTCAGGATTGAAAATAGGAGGAATAAGAAATATGCGACTCCCACCAGTGATGTCAGTATGCGATTCTTTTGTCCAAATGAGGTCAAGCTAAGCTAGCTATTATAAATTATTGATACGAAGAAGTCCTGATAAGTATCATTGGGAAACCTATTCTCCATTATTACCAGGCGCCCAATGCTTAACTAAATTCTCTTAATCCTCTATAGCCCTATTATACTGCTCAAGCTTTCATTAGAACAATATCTTCGGTAAATGTGTTCCCGTAAACACTCGCTCAGTCACTAAAACAACCAGCAGTTTGATGGCATATTCCACAATGATTTTTTAGATCAAGTACATGTGTTTTTGATTAAACTCTTACTACTTTTACGACGTATATGCTTCACCATTCAAATTACTGCGTTCTGGCTAAACAAAATATTTCACAAATGATATAAGACGTGCCTGTCTTTTACGGATCTGGGCTTCCAGTTCAGCTTGGCGCTGTTCCTTTGTCTTGATCTTCCTCTTTAGAACACCGAGAGGAGGATTCATGTCTTCCTCTGCGACTGAACAACTGGCCAAAGGAAAAATAACACAATTAGTATGGAAACGCCAATAATGAAGAATGCATCTAAAAACTAGGCTAACCACCTATTACTACAACGTGTCACGGAAACCAACTAACTGTGAGGAGATTAAAAAAGGAAATGGACAATCCTTCAACTAGTAAAAATGCTGGGTCATTATGGCATCTAACCTTGACAGAAAATAAGATGTTAAGAGCAGTCATTAACGAAAACCCACTACCATAAATGCGATATAGCGACGGTGATGTTTTGTTAACTTGGAGCAGAAGAATTAAAGTATGCTAATATTTGATTTATTTCCTTGATGATACCAATGTTTCATTCTGTTTTCTCATTTTTAAACTAAAAACAAGTAATAATTAAATTGTCTGTCCGAAATAACAAGTAGCCCTCCATAATGACAATTCGTTCAAGATAAATTGAAAGTCATTATGCGAAAATTCTAACATTTCTAAATTTTGCTCCCCTACTTCTCCGCAATTTTTCCGTAGCTGGGACTCTATTAGTCAACAACATAAGAGGAAGTAAAGGGTAGAGACAAAAATATTCCCCAAAGGTGTAAACTTAATCTCAATTTTTGCAAAAAAAGAAGACACCAGGTTTCAAACATTGATAATTTACAATTGGTATATAAACGAGCCTATTTTCTGATTTTTAATGATAGCCGGGAGTAATCAAGAGGAAGTGCAACTCGAATCCACATCAATTAGAAACCAATACGGAAAATGATTGCTTGGATAAAATACGAGTGGAGTTAATGATAGGTTCGAGGGACCAAGAGAGTGCAACTTGAATTAAGACGTTTATTACATCCATATTTTGTCGATTACGCTATTTTTCATGGTGAAAATAAGTGACGAAATACAAAATACTGTAATTAAGTGACAAGATAATCATAAAGACTAATGTCAAGACATAATGGGAAAAAAACAACCTTAGAGGGGTGTTGTGACCAAATCGTTAGTTAAGCAAAAATTAATGAGACAAGACAGGAGAATTCTATAAGGAAAGTAATCAAATCAATTCTTGATCGATTGACAATCAGTTCAAAACCTAAATTTTTATCTGATCCTTGAATTGCGTGTCCTTGCATGATTTCGTATGAAGAAAGGTAGCTAAACGTTTGACACATTCCCAGGATAAAAAATGCAATAATGGGTAACGAGAAGGACTAAATGTCACAGCTCAGTCTGAAGTATAACCACCACTTATTAATCGAACGCTCTAACCAACCTCTCCCTGTTAGTAATTAAATCTTCACCAGAATATTGAAGATTGCCGTGGATGAACAACACCAGTCACAAACTTTACCAATCTATAAAGATCAGTATGAGGGAGAGTTTCATGCTAGAACACCAAAAAAACATTGCATCTAGATGAATGTGAATATTGGGAGAAAACCGTATGCATAACGAGAAAGAATACTTTGAAAGTAATTGTCCATTAATAGATAAGTCGCATATTATGAAAAAAGGTTAAGATATCACTAAATAAAAACCATTGGTTAAAAAATAAGAACAAAATTAAAATACCTCCAAAGAAGCTCGATAAGACTTTGATAATTAATGTTAAACAGCGTTCAAAAATAAAAGACGACACATTTTCTACAGATTTGAGCTGAGTAGTGAAAAGGATCAAAAGTCAATTTAAAAATTCAATATTCGAACCTGTCCCATTTTAAGACAATTAAAACTGACTGATAGTACAATCTATGCTACCTATATAAGCGAATAGAAATAATAAGCTAACTTTTTGTGCTTTTGGTCAGGATTGTCTCTACATTGCCAGCCATCAGGTACTTCCCGTCCAACTTGATTTTGTGAGTAGGGAAGGACTCGCCACTTGAGACACTTGTCTATTTAAAGAGAGGAGGATATTTAGCTCAAACCAAAAAAAATTCAATTTTATTCAAAAGTAGCAACTTACCGCATTGGACACAGAGTGAGACGCAAGAGGAGCGTTTACGGGCATATTTTTCCTCACCACTAGGCGGATCCCGCCAACGCGCGGAGAGGTAGCCAAAGCCCTTCCAGAACCGATTTACATCTTCACTACCATTCTTCTCTATGGCCAAGTCATCCCAATACTGCATCAGATGATCGGCCATGGCCCGCATCAACTGACGATACTCTTTGGCATCCGCAAAGTCCTGCTTGTTGTGGGTTGGCTCTTAGAGGAGAGAGGAAAATTCATTAAGATACGCAGACACCTTATTTAAGATCTATAAGGTCGAATGAAAAGCTTACCTAACACCATATATGGGACATCCACAATACCTACAACACCACGACAAGTCATACTGGAGTCCTGTTGGGGGCCGATTCTTTGGTACATTTTAATTAACCGGGAGCAATTATATACAAACATGCCATCACATGCTCTATTGACAACATTAATTCCAAAGTAAAAGGTGAGGGTCTTGGGATCCTTTAAGGCTTTCTGCTTTCGAGCTACTATATTCTGCTTCTCTGTGACTAAGTTACGCTTCTCTGAAGCGGCATTGTTCAGTCGACGAATTACTTTCTACAAAAGGAAAGAGTGCGGAAAGATAGCAGTAGACCACTATTCTAGAACAGTGAATATAAACTACTGGCGATGAAAAAAAAGAACAAAGACACCGAGTTGGAATGACGAGCACATTAAAATAAATAAGACCAAAAACAATTTTAATAGAAGGGACAAATTTTCAAAAATGAAGCAAATCTTATTGACCTTTCGACTCCCATCATTCCACCGATTTCGTTCATTATATTTCGTAGATTTTACAATAAGCTACTCTTTCCTTGTTATTGGTAATGAAAATAATGCCAATTATATGCGATTGTGCGAATCGCAGAAAAAGGGCCTTAATGGCCAATGTAAACGATACACATCAATAAACTATAAGAGTTAATAACAATATATTAAAAATTAAGAATAAAAACGCATTTAAATGAGGCGATAGCCAACTCAAACAAATCACTTGGAAAGTAAAATTTTGAGAAATGCTGTTTGGTGTAAGAGAAGAAAACTAAAATTAAGACCATAAGATACTAAAACCATATAACTGCTAATCCGAAGTGTAGAAAAATTAGAACAAATGAAAATCAATAACAAAGCATAATTAAAAAGTAAAGAAAACTCACAAGATGTTCCGGATCCCTTGAACTACCATGTCGAAGTTCGAAATCACGCGCTTTACTTTCAGCCTCCCTAGCTATCATTTCAGCTGAAAAGTTAAAAAAAAATAGGATTAAAGTGGAAAAAGAGAGCAACACATACCAACTTTAACTTCTTCCTTTATCTTATTCAACTCCCGTTCAGCCCTCGTTCGAAAAGTTTTACTAGCAAAATTGTAGCGCTTGGTAGCATAGAGAGTATCCAAAAGACGCTTAGTTTGCACCTTTCTTGATTGTATGTATACCTTCATTCTGGGATCGGAGTAGAGGATAGACACATAAGCCCGCAGGCTCCGTTTTTCCGGTGGGAGCCTAAATCGACCATTTATCAAACTCTAGACTTACTCAATATCGGCAAGGGGTTCCATAGGATCTTCTCTTTCAGAACTGGATGCCAACATTATGTCATAGGGATTGGAATTAACATCTAATTCAGCAGAACCATCGTCCAGGAGCTTCATATTATAGACTACAACCACTGTTCCACTTTCTCCCTTAATTTTCTCAAACTGCCCAAAGAAATCTTTAGCATTTGGAAATGGAGAGAATCTATAGATTATCTCCATTTCGGTGTCATGCTAGAAGAATATGTTAGAGAGCAAAAAAGAAAATTACTTTTTTCTGATCTTCTGAATGGGCGAACATGGGAGTCTTGTCCTTCGAATTAAATGTCGGTAAAGGAACGATGACTTCGTCTAACCTTTCCGCCTCGTGGAAAGTACGTGATAAAAATACACAACTATAAATTCCATCTTTCTTAGTAAAGAGTATCATATCACTTCCGATACGCATTGAGCCACTAAAGAACTTAAAACACAAGTGTGCCTTACGATTTAAGACCATTGCCGTACATTCCGATAGATGACTGATCTAGAACTCTTTTACAGGACTTTCCGAAAACAATGACATTTTTAGTTTCGTCTAAGAAAGATTATGGTTAAAATCAGTATCACCTGGAGACATTCCACAACCATTATCTACAAAATAAAGCATGAAACCACCACGGAGATTCGGACTTTTGGCTATTTAAACGAATTTATTATTCAAAATGATTAAATACTTGAAAATATGTCGATCTCAGTAGCACCGGCGTCTCTTGCATTATCAATTAACTCAGCAATAGCGCCGAAGAGGAACTCGTGAGTCGTTCTTAGTGAGACAGTAATTATACATATATGGTCTTACGAATTCGTATGTAAATAATCGAAGCTCAATTGAGCCCGACTAAGTCGAGAATAATTTTCTGATGACATGATATTGCTTGGGTGCTGTTTACGAAAATTCCACCGACAGATGATCTGCAGACTACACCCTTGAAATATATTGGCCCTCACACCAACACAGCTAGCATGTTAAACAATTAAATGTTTTCCTTATTTTTTATAAAATAATGGATATACTGTTATTTTTAATTCAAATTTATATATATGATAGTTTCATTGAAGATGGAAAGCAAAAATTGGGCTAGGGAAGATTAAAAATTAACTTTTTAACGCATTCTGTTACAATTCTGCATTGTACCTACATGTTATACTATTTTCGTAGAAAATGCCTTCATAATATTTCTGGATAACTTTTCAAGCACTTTGAAACCGATTTTTTGCCTTTATTCTTTGGTTAGCTTTCCTCGAATTTGCTTGAGTGAACCAAGTCAAAAAAGTCAACAGAAACCGTGATATGAAAAGTAGTTTTGCTCTTTTAGTCGTTTGAACTTGCTTACCAACATTACTTTACATCCTATGCGGACACTCAAATTAATTTATTTATTTCAAATGGCAGGCGTTTTGATAGCTATCATCAGCCATTTAGCTGACTTCGGGCTTCATAGAGGGAAGGTTAATCAAAGTAGAAGAAATTCGAGGGGTGGGGAACAGAAGGGCGATTCACAGATGTAAAAAGGCAGACAAACACAAAGGTAGAGAAAAAGGTAAGATGAGTACTGTGGAAGGGGTCGAATATGACAAGCAGTCGGGCCATGGTAGTTTGAAGTCGGAAGTCAGCTGTCGGTTAATAGATTTTTTGCCGTATGAGTATACGTTGCCCTGAGTGCACCACGTGGAGGTAAGTCTATCGCGCATCCCACACTTAAATTAATTATTATCACATATTATATAGGTCGGATTCATTATATAATGTGTTTACACTTAGTGATATCAAGGTTAAGATACTCCAAATTCGTGTAGAAAACATTTATTTATTTATTATATCAAATGGCAGGCATCTTGATGGTTATCATGAGCCCTTTAGTTGACTTCAGGTTTCACAGAGGGGAAGGAACATCAAATTGAAAAAAGTCGAGAGGGGGGAACAGAAGAGTGTTTCAAAGATGTAAGAGGCTGACACAAAGGTAGAAAAAAGGTGAGGTGAGTACAGTGGAAGCAGTCGAATATGGCATAGAGTGAGGTGATGGTAGTTTGAAGTCAGAAGTCAACTGCCGAATAATAGACATTTTTGCCGTATGAATATACGTTGCCCAGGGTGCACCACGTGGAGGTAAGTCTATCGCACACCCCTGTAGAAAATATTGATGGAACTTACGAGTAGCCATATATTCCATCTTCGGTCCAACTCATTATATTGAGAGAGGATCAGAAAAAGTGGAGAAGATTTTGGAAATATCTACACTCCAATACTATGTGATCCTGATAGTGGAGTGCATAACCCTGTCATGACTGATCGAAGATATCTCATGGGCACTCAGGCAGATTGGAAGGAGCCGTAATGAGCTCAGAGACCTCTCAACCAGCCACCTATGCGCAGCTACTGCACTGTACTTGAATGACTAAGCTATGTGACAGATATACAGATCCAAATGATCCTATTCCATGTCGAGCGTCTGTTTCCCATATAGCTCTGGGGTAACTTAACTAATCCTGGGAACCATTCCAAACTGAGAGGTCTTCCTATAGAGGCTGCTGGACGTAGGTCAAGACATATATTGTAGTCATCCGCTACAAGAGATACCTGTCTACATTTGAATTCACCTTATTAGTTTCCGCAGGATATATTTTCAAGAATCTGAAAGACGAAGTTTAAATGAGTAACACTCATTTTCAGTAACTTGTAATAGACCAATGTTAAAAGCGAATGAAATAATTATCAAACAAATTTATTATTCCGAGACACACGGCTCAAATATTTTAATACAGAATGTATTCCAATAATTATAAAGAATACCATTCACTTCTGCCCCTCCAGAGCTCTTAAAAGATCAAATAGAGCATATGGGTCGAGTTGTTCCTTAACGGGCTCTTCTCTTGCCCACTTTCTAAGCTTTGATGTCAACGATGGATCCAAGGTTATGGTAACTGGAGTAGGAGGATTTTTGTCTTCAAGTGGGTCATCAAGAATGGAAATGTGTCCAACGAGTAAGAATGTTAAAGCCCTAACGAGGAATTCTCGAGGTACGTGGATTTTCAAAATAAGATCAGCTATTTGAGTGGCAATATCCAAATCCCGTACAACAGCTACGCTTTGAATAAAAGAGAATATGAAATAGAACAAGTGACCCAATTCATTTGGCCTTAAAACTTACCACGTTGATCAGCAGAAAGTTCTTGTGAAATGCAGTAAAGAAAGAAGGAAGCTTTTTCTAAGAAGCGGGAATAATCTGGATCGTTTACAAAATCTGTCATGATTTCGAGGATAATTTGAAGTCCTCGCAGCTCGAGAAAATTCTCCCTGGCTTTATTAGATGCCCGAACGAGTGCTAGAATGACAGCAAAGATTTAAGATAAGATATACTAATTGACAATTAAATGTCAGAAGTAGGCCACTTACAAGATATTCCTGATAAAATGCCTCCCAAATTTCCAGGACTCCTCTGTTTGCGGAGGAGGGTCAATGCTGTATCTAATAAACCCGCATCAATAGCGACGCTTTGAGCTTCTGGGTGATTCTGCATTACATTTGAAAGAAGCATTCCAGCATAAGAAAGGTAATCGTCAGAGGGGTTTCCCAGCAACTCCTTGAGAAGTTCTAAGCCGTCTATTTTTAGGAAAATGTCTGCTAGATTAATGTCTTCTGTAAAATCAATAAGGTCTTCCAAACATTCGATTGTTTCGAACTTTTTTGCTTCGCTAGGCGGACAAAACAGATTCTCTATGATTTTGCTTATTCTACTTTTCATTTCGTCAACCACATCCACTGTCGAGTGCTCCAAAGCCTCTCGTAACCACTTTGCACGCTAAAGGAAAACTAATTAATATCGAAAGGTTACCTCCGGGTCCATTGGTTCAATTCCACCCGAGGGATTAGAACCCGCTTCTATACAAAAACGAAGAAGCCCCTTCAGATGGTTCGGTATTTCACTCATGCTACAATCTATCACAAATATTCAAAGAACAGTTAGACCACATTCCAATTACAGTTAAGTGGTATAAAATTCCAAACGTCACACCAAAACAAATAAAAACTGTCAAAAAACTTTGATGATGTAAATCAAACACTGCTTAAAACCCGGCAACCCAACATACCGAAGAGTGACGGAGATTACAGCGAATTCCAACTCGTCTTTATATACTGAATATGCCGAAAGGTCGGACTTTAGTTCGAAATAACAAATCTCACTTTTCAATTAATTTCGCAATATGAATTTAGTGACTATGATAAGTTATTTTTTTAAATAGGTTTAAGTGATCAAAATTCATTCACAGATATAGTTATTATAATAAATATAGCAGTCCGCTTTAGCTATTTGTAATAGACAGCTCATGAATAAACCCTGACTAAACCTTTTGCATAATTTTGCTGGAAAATGCTTTCAAAATTGGCAAAGCGATATCATCAGCTTTGAAGAGGCAGAATGTTGTTAAAAATATTTCCATATATCACATTAGCTTAGACCATAACATAATTTAATAAAAAAAACAAAAAATAGAGAGTAGTAAACACTAATTGCTGGACGGATAAGAGACATCTGGATACAAAGCCGCGCTTTCATGAATGCTCTAGTATGCTTGATATTACTCGAATAGGTATGGCAGCATTGTGCACCATACGCACTTGTTAAATTAATTGATGCGTTTTGGCAATAAATATTCGATTTCTGCAGGTATAATGAACTACCAAATGTTTTATTTTAGCATATTTCTCGAAACAGTGAAGTGTATTTATTTTTAAAGCACTTAAGATTGTTTTCAAAAATCGTGAACTTCTACTGGTCTCAGGATATTGAACTAAGCACGAAATCATTAAAATTTCCGAGGTTTTAATAGCAATGAGTAAATGCAACGGCTATTAACAAATAATAAATCCCCGAATCTCCTCTTTTGAACCACCGCAATGGAATGTATTTCGCACAGATTTATTTAGAAATTAATATAGAACTATATCTTTAAGTGTTTCCTTATAGCTACTGCTTATGCTAATTAAATTTTTAAACTGTATTTATTGGCTTCCATGCGAAAAGATATTTAAAAGATCCTGATATTGAGTATTTTGGGGCTTGACAAAATTATCTACTACATTTACATTCAATCTATGTGGACAAAGGCAACATTGTATGATATGATTTTAAGTTTTGATATCAAGTGACAATCAATGTTTCATTATCTTATAAAATAATCTTCTTGAGTTTTTAAAATATTGAATCCAAATTATAACGTTTAATTTGGCTCTGAGGAGATTTGATTCATAATTTGCTCAAATACTGATATTTTAAAGAGCGAGGACTATTAGTTCAATTTTACAAGCTCAGTTCTCGAACCGGTGTGATTCAAAATGAAGAAGCACGGTTGAACTTATTATTAATGAAATAAATGAACTACAAAAATTATAATCATTAACAACAGACTGGAGTGCCGAGTGAAAAGACACTAAAAATAAGCACAAAAGACGATTTAGAAGTGCATCAATAGTTGATAATGAATGTATGTAAAGACAATGTCATAGAAACTGTTGAAGCGGACTGTTATACCGGTAAAGCCTTGACTGACTCAGAAACCTCTATGGCATTACCTCCAATCTAGCTAGACTCCCTAAACTCGCTAGGCTACGGCGAAGCTAGGGGGGAACAATAAGAGCTAAATATCTACGTGTAGGACCGCACACTCCAAATCCCCGCGTGTCCCACACTGCTCATATTCAATTATGCGCAGCAGGGTGAGCACTTCCATTTAAGCATTCTCAAATGAAGAGAATGGTAAAATGCGGATTCACAACATTTAAGAATCCCGTTCTTCAATTTACTTTAATTCCTAAGTCACACATTATTTCCCATTTAGTATTCTGCTTGCGAACACTGAATAAATGGGTTATAATTTTATGTGATGGCTTAGCCTTGCCTATATAGGACTATATCATTTATGCTTAAGGAACTAAAAGAAACCTGAAAGTAAACCCAAAATATACAATTCAATACGAATTCATGGGAAACTCGAATACAATTGAAGGTGTAGCATTAATAATCGAACCCATTACCCATCTGACCTTGTTACATGTTTGCAAAAAGGAGGTAGGACAAGCAGACAACCAAAGCGCAGTCACGGGCAAAACGAGTTACTGAAAGGAAGCTTCCGAACTGACACGATTGAAAACGACTCAAATAAATGCTGAAGATATGATTCATGCTTAAAGCAATTTTGAGAAATATTTTGGAAATAATTCAAAGAATTATATTCATTACTCAGAAAAATAGTCCAATAACTTCAAGGAAAAGCAAGAGTGAAGTAAATTCCCTGGAAAAACGCAAACTCTACCACCCATTTTATTAGCCAGTCAATTTGCTCGGTTGGCAATTCTGCCAACTAGTTACGCCCCGAAGGCCATCAAACTCGTGACCTATGATTCAGCAGATGAGCACACTAGTCATTACAGAAATACAGTACTTAGAAAACTTCAGTGAAACCATACGACAAGCAAATAAGAACGATAAAGGAACAAATGTAGCATATATTCACTGTCAAAAGGCATTGTACAAATTAAATAAAGGCGAAGGACATTACTGCAATAATAATACTACTACTTGGGCAAACATGAGCGAGGGTTACGCAGAGACGAATTAATGGAGAGAAAACAGGAGACACAATCACATGAAGGTAACCGATGGGGCTCAATCCTTCGAGTAGTAACTGACTTAAGTTGATTTTAACTTCTTTCCAGAGGCTATGTTTAAACAGGACGTGAGACGAGAAAATAAGTAAAACTTCTAAAACCAAAGAACAAAGAATGAAGCAGTAAATAACCAAAACGTGTCTGCTCAAGTGTATACACAAAAGACTAACCTCAAAAGTCATGTGAAGGCAGTAGAGATATGACCCAACAAAGAATGCCATGACTAGATCAAAGACGGACGATTTCAAACTAAAAGATAAAGTACATGAGTACATGTGAACAATGAATAAACCAAAATTTTATAAGCCTGTTTAATTTCAAATGGGGGCTTTACGCCACCAAACAAATTAAATATTGGTTTTTAGCATAGAGTTTAATCTTCCAGTAGACGAACTTCGAACTGAGAATAGCCTTAGTAAATACATTAGACTATTATAAATAAATTATGTTCACAACCCGACCTCTGGAAAATGCGGAACCTATGAACACTACTTACCGATAGACGGTAATCTTTCTGGGAGTAACACCGGAATAGAAGACGACCTCAGGGTCTTTTCCAGCTGCTGAAAGGGTAGGCATTGAATTTGCAGAAGCAGCTTCTTGTTGTTGCTGTTGTTGGGAAGACTTGAGATCTTGCTTGGTCGTAGAAAGCATCTTTGCAAACCGGTGCTTTGTAAGTCGCACATCTGGAAGGAGAGAACGCATATACTGTTCCAGCGTGCTAATAAGACCGTTACTGCCGATGAAAGATGTTTTGGAACTCGATCGGCTAGGTGGCGCTGAAAGTAACTGAATACTTCGAGGTTGAAGAGTCAAGAGGTCCATCAGAGCTGCAGCAGACGAATCTGTTGACCACTAAAAAAAAAATATATATATATATACTTATAAAGAACACGACATAACTAATAGAGGAACAAAACAAAGACCACTTGAGAAGTTGTAGAAACTAATGGAACAGACCGCGACTGCAGAAGTTAAGATTTAAGCTCACAATACGAAAAGCTATATAGGACCAGTTGTATTGAATAAACCATAACGAGCATCTGAGTATATGCAAATGTAGAGATAATTTAAATGATTTGAGCAACGGAGAGCATAAAGCACAAGCACAATGGATTTTTAGGGGAAATGGACTCCTCTAAGCATAAGGAAAAAGAGGCGAAAAATGAACACATTTTCGTAAAGAATAATACTAGCGAGCATCTTATTCATGACGTGGAAAATGCGAACAATCAATGTTTTGATACCATCTAAAGATCCATTTTAATGCTACAACGCAATCGTGATGCGATTGAGAGATTACCAAAAGAACCGCAATGCAAAATGCTGTTTTCACGTCCCAACAAGGTTGAAAGATGTAAAGCACTTCGACATACTAGTCATTAACAAGATTAAAAAGGTACGATATGAAACATGATCAAAGTGACCTCATCTTTCCAAGCATACAAAATAGATTTTATGGAAAAGTGTAAAAGTAGGTTACATGTAACTGTACGTGATCTGAAAACAAAAAAAAACAACTTACAGATGGGTCAATGAACGGAGAATTTAGAGCAGTTGGATCAACAGTACTGGTATTAAAGATGAGACGAGCTAAAGCTTCAGTAATAACCTTGGCATTCCTAGCAACGACTTCCGGTTGTACTGGACCCCAAAAACCATGCGGTTCATCTTGCGATCTACTACTGTAAAGAGGTCCACCATCGAGAACAGAATTGCGAAGACTGTAACTAGTGGGACTAGACCAAGCGGAAATTGTCGCAGTTGGAAGACGATAGAGAGCAAACCTCTCATGCTCCCAAGCCAATTCGAATTGGTTGAGATTAATTTTCTTGTGTACCACCTCGACAAGAGGTTCAGAATGTTGCAGAGGGTGAAGCTTACTTGCCAATTCAAGAGAAGTAAGAAAACGATGACTAAATGTACCCTCCTTAGGAAGCCTGGAGACGTGGAAAAACAAGTGATCTCCATCGTTAACACCTAATCCCTCCAAGTTAATCACCTGCTCCACAGTATCGAAAAGCGCTAAGGACAAAATACATTAAATTATCCAATGTTAACGGAAGCAGTTTTAAGACGATCGTTAATAAATTCATACCGATGCCGTTGATATCCTCATACATCATTTCTAACCAACGTTTTGAGCCCAAATAGTTAACCTTTCCACCGCCAGTCAAAAGAAACATGACATTGTATCTACACAAAAAACGACGAGTTTAAAGTAGAGATTAGAAAGAATTCAATACATGAAGTCCAAATAACATACATTGAAGGGGATTTGGAATTCATTAGCTGAGATAACATTCGAGCAACTTCCAACAAAACAGCTACACCAGCAGCGTTTGAATTAGCACCATAAGCAAGAGATGGAATAGCTCCTCCAGCATCGTAATGAGCAGTTAAAATAATTGTGGGTTTCTTGATGTCAAAAGTGCCAGATGACAATTTGCCCTCAATGTTGATCAACTCAATTTGCTTCATTGGTGATGCTATAGGAGCGTCAATATATGCACGGTAGCCAGTTGAAAAAATAGTATCAAGGAGACTCTGACCATTCTTTTTATCAATGTCTGAAGAAATTCTTTTTAATCCCTCATACATGAGTTCGAGTTCGTCAGTTTTGGTTGCGAAATAAACCGGAACTTCAAACTCTTCTCCAATTAAGGCGGACTCAAGGCTAAGCCAATGCTATTGAAGTAAAAAATAAAACAGTAAAGACATACCGAAAGTGACGTATCATCCCAATTTCCTGAAGGTAATATAATCACAAAGCCACCAGCGTTATTCTCGATAGCTTTTCGAAGACTATACACACTAGCATCAGCTAGTTTCATCAATACACATTTTCTGGCGTATGGCCTACTACTGAGTGTTTGGATATCACATGACAGAATAGATGATCTACTACCTAACAGAGTGAAATTTGTTTGTTATTTACCATATTCGACATTTAAGACATCAAATTGAGTGAGTCGGTAAGCCGTAAAATCTTGAGCTGCTTTCGCTGGATCAATCGGTGAAAAAAATATGGCAAGTGATAAAAGTATAAACAAGTAGTAAGGAACAAAGCTGAAAGCATTAGAAATAGCGGCATATTCATCAGAGAACCACATGTTGAAATCAAATGTGGAGGTTGCAAAACAACGACCAAAAACTATGCACTTGCATATAGTTTTGTAGTTAAAATATATCATTTTATACATTTTTAGATTTTAAACTATTTTTAAATGCTAAAATAATTTGCCCTTGTTGTAGAATAAATGACACTGATATAAGATTCAACATGTTGATAGATTTCATTTATTCCATTTTAATCTCAAAATCGCGATCGATTTAACCCTTCTTTTGTCATCAAAATTGCTTATCACCTATTTAAATAACGCTAAAAAACAAATATACCATCTTCTCTTACGGATGATTTTAGATATCAGGAAAAGAGAGGAGTTTCCACCTTTACATAATTTAAATGGTTGATCAGAATAAAAAATCGTTGGTAGTCTGTTTGTTAAAGTCTTACATATTTTACAATGCAATGTTATTGACGGAATCAGTGTAATGCTGTGGATGTGATGATTTTTTTAAGAAGAAAACATAAAAATACTGCAAAGTTTTATCCCTTTTACAAATATCAATCTTGCTAATAATTTAACCAGATTCTTTATTGTGTTTAGCTATCATAAATATATCAAAAACACTGCACAATGGGCCCATCTGACCTCACCCTTCAAAATTCAACACAGCAGTGGAAACTTTCAACTGAATGAATTTCTAATAGCTATTGTCTTATGCGAAATTTTGAGCCAGAAAGTGCAGACTTTAGTTTACCTTTCCTCTGTGACACACAAAGCATGCTTAAGCTAAATTTATGTCTATTAAAGTCCTCAACCACGAGATGAAAAATAGCAAAAGTGTCAACTTATACAGACATCAAAGAAAAATGAAGAATGAAATAGGTTTAAAATAGTGAGCTTAAATAATTCAAGATCATTCGATTTTGAAATTTAGAGCAACGTTCGACTCAAGTAGCGAGTTAAGAGATTGTTTTATTTGAATTAATTGAATAAATGAGAGTTTGAATACTCAAAATTTGACAAATCAATAAACCGATCGCTCAGCGATTTTCCTATCCTCAGGGCCTATTCTAAAATAACTTTAGAGAAATTAAATAACCTTTAATAAAGGCATCCCTTTGAGTAATCATTGAAATGACTTCACAGCTATCTTTGTCAGTTTTGTGCTTTCCATTTGAACTGTCTAAAATGCATATCATTTAAACCACTAGAGCTTAGCAGGGGTGAAATAATGATGAATGACGTAGTTTTTCAGACACCCACAAAATTAATTCTGATAATAACCAAACTGCATTAAAAACTTGATTAATCGATAAATAGGAAGTTTTACAGTGAAAATTTTAAATTTTTCATAGAAATAACGTTTAGTCTTGCTTCCTTATAAAGAGACTGGGTGTTTTATGAACACTACTTAATGCGATAAATGAAAATTTACACCAGTGTTGGGTCTACAGCGCAATCAAGGCTGATAAAAGAAAAATCAAAAGATGGGACATGCTGGAAGGTGGGGCTATACTACTGAAGCCTTCTCAACTAATTAACAATTAATATTCATTAAAGTTGCGTTAATTTCATTCGTTTACTGGCCATGAACTGGCCATATTTTAATACAAACTATACGTTCCATACGTTCAACTTCCTCAGCGCTATTGAAGGAATTTTGTCGGTAAACATTGTTAAGATTAAGTCTAAGATTACTTGTGCTGTATCCATTAGAGTGTTAGTTGGTGCTTTACATAATTTGAATTATCGTTATCATTTTTGTTTTGGAACTAAGTGATCGGCAATTTTTAAAGCAAAACTTTAACCTACTGTCAAGATACTTGTAGCGGATTGCTACCTTAGTAAAGCCTGACTGACT